CAATACATATTTGTTAAATGAATGAGGGATCCAGAAATGAGGAGGCAGAATATAATCCCTTATTAAAATCCTGAAGGTGTCAATGGTGATAGTATTCAATTTAATCCCTGTGCTAAATAACCAAACAAATAAACTCTAAACCTGCTGTAAATGTTCTTGCATGAATGCTCGATGACCTCAAGTCAACACTACTTTATTACAGCAAGTCAAATACTTTTGAAAATCAGAAACATGCTTAAGCAGTAAGGAATTACAAGAGTCGGTAAAAAGGAGGAGAAGTGAAGAAGTAGGTTCACAAAATCTCACAACTAGAAAAGTGAAAATTCTGTATTCATCTCCTAAGATCTACACAATAACAGTCAAGATCCTAGAAGAGGGCAAAGCTTCATAACTAACCATAGAATCTGGAATTAATCAATTTGTTAGTGTTCTTGTCTGCTCCCTTGTTTCTCCTTCTTGTGCTTATTGCCTAATATTTGACCACATTTCTGTTTGTGAGCAAGTCACACAAGGAAGAAACCTAGGGAAACACAGGGAACTGAAGTGAGTTAAAACTATTCCTTGCCACCTGATTGAAATGTAAAATAAGATTGTTTCTAAATGAAAAAATAATAAAAATAAAAATAAAAAACAAAAACTACTCCTTGCTTCCTCTGCTCCTTGCTTCATCCATCAGTTGGTTATACCAATTCTTATTGTAACTTATTACACCATGTTTGGTTGATATCTCTGGGAGGACTGCCTTTGCAGGGGTGGAGTAGTGTATCTGCAGTAGATTGGAGGGAGGGGAGATACTAGGAGAGAAGGGGAAAACTGCCATTGAGATGTAATATATGAAAGAAGAATTTAAACAAACAAACCAAAAATACACCTCTAAGCCTTGATAGCTTTCTAGGGGAAAATACTGGTAACTTAGTCTGAGCAATAAAAATCCTGCATGCTGCTAAAATATATTAAACTCAGTGAGACAGCAATTAAAACTCAAACTTGTAAATAGATGATGAGTATTATAGGATGATTGGGATATTGATAGGGGCAGGTAGTAGTTGAGAAAGAGAAGTAAGAGTGCTTCATGTGGTGGTTTACATAGTATGTAGTGGTTCATGTACAAAAGTGTGAAAGAACACAATTTAATAATTTAAAAAAAATCTAGGAAATAGCAGCAACAACAAAAACATGTTATTAAAGTGGATTGCATATATACTTTTGAAAATGAGTTGTTTAAACTGGCTTGATCAAATTCAGTTGAGAGATAAGATCTGAATTTTTCAAAAAATGATGTAAATTCATAGAATTTAAATATGTGGGTATATGTTTGAACATGCAAAAAAAGAAAAACATGGAAAAAAAAGAGGAATTGAAAGGAAAGAATTCAAAAGCAAATAACTAGCTCTGTGACTGCTATTGGATCATCTGGAAGAGGCAGCTTACTTAGTGTGTGTGTATGTGTACATGTGTGTAAATGTGCACACGTGTGCATGTATGCATGTATGTATGTGTATGTGTGTGTGCATGCACGTGTGTGTGTACTTGCACACTGTATCTCCACATGCCCTAGCAGCATGCATGCCCACATATTTGCATGTGTGTCTGCATGTTTATGCACATATTCTATGAGTTTGTACATGTGTATAGTGGCCAGAAGTCAACATCAAGAGTCTTTCTAAATCATCTGGAACTAGGTTTTTGTTATTGTGCTGTGTTGTTTTGTTTTGAAGCAGGATCTCCCATAGAACTTATGTTTAAAGACAGGCTGTACTCTTGGGCCAATGAGTTCAACAGATTTCCCTTTGTTTGTCTTTCCAGTATTGGATAATAGACATGTGTCATCACACCTGATTCAGGTCCTTTTACTTACATTACTGACTGAGTAATCTGCCCTTGCATAGAGTAATTTAACATAACAGAAGAGTAGGTAATAATATCTGTGGGCAAAAACTTTGGTCATACTGGCTTCTACCTTTACTAGCAATAGAAACTGGTGAAAATAACAAGTTTTAAAAGCTTTCCTAGATTTTTGTAGTGTAATTTTCTCATAAACTTGATGTAATTATGAGATTGAAAAACACCTGATACTCGCCACATGCAAAACTCAAGCTTCTATGTTATTTATCTGTCCAAATGTTCAGCAACGGGATCTTGTGTTAACCATTTATTTTTCTTTTCAGATTTTAAAAGAACAGAACCCCGAAGTATACCTTGAAGGCAATTAACATATGGCTAAAACTATCATGGGAAATATAAAAAGATAGATTATAATGTGCAACTGGCATTTGTTTTAAAACAAAAATTAGTCATTTGATGTTATTTAAATTTTTTTTCTAACATCAAATACAGAGGAAAGTATTATAAAAGGTATTTTAAAAATATAGCATGGTACCTCATGGAGGGAGAAATTTTTCTTATTTTTGTAAAGATCAAAGAACAGAAAATGTGTTGTTCTTAGCAAAGTCATTTGAATGTAAGCTCTCAGAGAGCCTCATTTATTAATAACTCACTTGATTACTACATGTTTATAATTGGCAATTAAGAAATAGTTCTGGGTGAACACAGTGTGACAAGACTATAGAGGTCTTGGCACAGGAACCAGGCCCATCTGTTTCTGCAACTGATTGTATACATTAAAAAGAAAAGAGGTAAGTAATGACAAGCCAAAGATTAGCATCAAGACCAAGCACAACTCTACTATTATCTTGGTTTCTGAACCATTGTTTAAGAGCCTCTAGAACAAAGCTGCTTAAGAACCCAGAGTCCATTGTAATGTAAACTTAATTTTACATAAATGGTTATGAAATTAATAATTTCTTGAAACAGGATAATGGGTTCTTCTCTTTCTCTTCCTTTCATTATTTCTTCTTACATTTTGTAGTTTCTTGAAGCAGGGAACATATAAAGCAGGCTAGCCTCCAACTCACTGTACAGCCACAGCTGGCTTTGAAATGTATGTCCTCATGCCTTTGCCTTCCAAGAGCTATCTGAAATTGCAGGCTATCACTATGTGTAGCTTAATGGTTTTCTTGAATTGACTAAAATAAACCTTTTATTATGGAGAATAAATATAAAATTAAAACTTTGGGACATTTTCTTCTACATCATTCAATAGCCAAAAGTAAATGTTAGTTTTTATTTTTATAAAATTCTAGCTAACACTGAAAGTAATAGCTTTTCAGACTTAGGGCAATAAACAATCAACTAAAAGGGAGCAGGCCTTCTTTAATTATAATAAGATATGTTAAATTCTCAAGCAAGAGGATTTTTAAATAGTGCTTAATTAGCACTGCATAAAAGCACAATAGTTGACTGTGAACCACACAGTCAGTGGGCTTCTGTAGACATTGTCCTAATCTAATTGTAAATTATCTCAAAGTTTGCCAAAGTAAACAGCCCAACCTACACAATGCTTTGTCGACTATCTTATAAAGCATATAGAATAAACAACCCAAGGAATAATAATAATAATAATAATAATAATAATAATAATAATAATAATAATACGTTCTACTGAATTATTTTTCTCTTGAAGTTCTATGAGAAAAAAGAGTCATTTTCTTGCTTACTATCTTACCTTTTGGTGCCCTTATCGTTTTTTGTAATCACACTTTTCTCATGTATTATGCTCTGTTCATGCATTCTTGAACAGCATCTTTATTTATGACTTTGTGAATCAACAGCTTTGTGATAGGAGGCGAAAGTCACTTAGCTAATTGCACATGCTTGATAAGCAGCATAATAATAAACACTGCAGCATCATACATTAGTTAACGGCATGTAAATCACTGCTGTTATTCTCTTTTGAAAAAAAAAAAAAAAAAGAACTGCTTTAGTTGTTTAAAAGCATTCTGCTTCTGCCATATATTTTCCTAAGCACACTGTGTGTTTGACTCAACAGAAGGCCTTAAATTTAAAAATTAAAGTTTGAACTCTATTTTACCCAACATATAAGAGAAACAATAAAGCCAACTTAACCTATTTCTGATAGACAGTTGATAATTTTATTACTCTAAGTGTCTTCCATACAATCCAACCTCAAAAAACAGAGCATGTGGACACTACATTCCCTGCAAAGAGGCCATAATGAAGTCTGACCTGTTCCACCCAGATTAGAAGTGCAAAGAAAGATGGAAAGTACAGCACTGGAATATTAATATGACTTCAGTAGGAGGATTGAGAATTCTACTAAGTTATGAATAAGGTCAAAATAACACTTAGATTTACTGCTGTAGAAAATCATACACTCCTGTGAGTGATTTACTGAATGTTATATAAAAATGGAGTGTGCCCATGCTGCATTCAGATGCGAGGCTGCAGCTGTCAGTGTCTACATTTGCTCAATCTGGCTAGAGGATGATTTGAAGGTTGATTTAATTGTAGCTTCTGAATCACGTTCTTCCCATGTTTTAAATTGTTTAACATAAATATATAAATGTTAAAGACATTTTAAGACTGTAAATATTTAACACAAAGAGTAGAAATATCTCATTTTCTTCCAGAAGAGTAACTGAAAATAAAAACAACTCTTGGGAAAAATATCGCTATTACCTAATAATAGTACCTGCCCCATAGCTGTAGCCAATTTAGTCTTATGACCAGAAAGTCCATAAGGTGTTCAGAAGTATCTAAGACTACACCACCATAAAACAAAGGTTTATGAACTAATCATTTCGAAGAGAAATAAATGTGTTCCTGTTCAGAAAGAGTTCAAAACTAAAACTGATCAGCTGTTAAGGAAGCACTGTTTGGGTTCCTCAGGCAGCATAAGAGGGAGGTATCTTTTTCTTTATAAGCAAAGCCTAGGGAGAAATTCCATTTGTAAGGGCACTGCCCATAGGAGAGCACTGGAGCCAGCAATGAATTTTCCCAGTGTTGTCTGCTCAGCTTGCATTCTCCTGACCCATCACCTAACACTCACTTGCCAGCATCAGCAAGCCAGCCTTTGGGAGAGTATCTCGGTCTTTCTATGTAAACTTGTACATTGTTTTCATTTTCACTTTTATACATACCTCCTTTTCTACATATTTTCTTGCCGGGTTTTCTGGCACATTCCTTGGATATTCTTTTTACTGAAAAATGAATAGAAGACTAGAAAATAACATGGCGCTCCATCACAGACCGCCGGAACATGCAACACCACTATCTAACTTAGTACACTCATTTTTACTGAGTGCAAAAGAGCCCCAATTTGTTGAGCCTGCACATGCAATGAGGAAAAGTTGATGCATCTTCTCAGAAGTCATTTGGTAGAAAATGGAAATTAGGAGCCCATTTCTACCTAAATATACGTGCTGTGGAGGAAAAAAAATGAGTAGGCACAGTGAAAAAATAAGAACAGATACACTGACACACAAAAACAAAAAGAGCAGCATGCAAGCATGTAAAATATGTCTACATGCCAACAGGAAAAGCCATGCATACTACCAGTACACATGAATTAATATTATTCAAACTTGGAATAGAAAAATATATATATATATATATCTCCCTTGTTCCTGCAATGAACTCACCATCTTCAGTTGGCACATAGATGTTTAAATATAAGCAGTCTTCACTCTGGTCTTGAACATATGATGAAACCACATCCAAGTTATTAGTGAACCACACAGGAAGCATAACTTCAGGCAATCTGCCATCGATGATATTCTGGGGACATACAGGAGCAAACTGGGTGGCATTCCGGATATCAGACCAGGGAGATGGTGGCTCTGGAGGCTGAAAACGATGTTCACCTGTTGGTGGAGCAGCATATGGAACCCCAAGAAACTGAATGACAGGCCCCAAAATTTCATTATTGAGTTCCTTCTTGATCCCTCTTATCTTGCCAAAGTTAGTAGTAACCAATGGATCTACATCATCCAATTTTTGAGAGAGCACATGGACAGTCTGTAGAAAACATCCCAACAAACAGAAAGCCAATGGGGCACCCAATCCCCTGTGTACCACACATGCCATCATGGCTCTCCAAACATAATTTGGCCACATGCATCTGGGAAGTGCCATGGTCCCACATTAGTTGTCTATTTGTCTGGTGCAATGAGGCAAATATATTTGTATCCACTTGAGAAAGATGAAATGATGGTAGAATGCACCTCCAGCTTCTCCAATGTTAGCTTGTTAAGGAAATCTCAGAGTACTCTTTATGCAGCAAGCAGCTCCCACTGATTTCACACAGATTGAAGCAGCATCTTCAATCATCACTATTCATCAGACCGTCTCCTAGTGACCATTCTGTTTTCCATAGTAGCATTGTGGTGGGAGGAGCCATTGACTGTATTTTCCCTCATATAAATCAAATCCAGTTAACTGTGGGTCTATATCCTAGAGAAAAAAATGAAAATAAATCATTAATAAGAACAAGTTTACAGACAAGGTGATAACTAGATGTTTCACAAGGTATAGAAATACATTAAGAGTTGCTGGGGTTGGGTAAATTGAATACTACAAAGAGAAGCTAATGGCTTGATACAAGACTAAAGGTGAAATGATTGATTATTAGATTTGGAGCATATTGCCTGCTGACTTTTTCAAATACACAGTTTGAGAAGCATTGTATGCTACAGTAGTCTTTCTTTCCCTTTCTTCTTTTCTTTTTCTTTTTCTTTTTTTTTTTTTTTTCACTTCAGGTTATATGAAAAAATTTCCTCTTTATGGATACTTTAATAATTTCAAGTACCTAGAGAAATCATCCATAAACCTAATCAAAATTAGAATCCCCAAAGCAGATTTATTTCTGAAAATAGTGTATATTCAAGGATCAACCTTTAGGAATAATTGTATGTGTTGAAAAATAAATAAAAGGAAGTACCCAAATCCATATTTATAACGAACACAAAGTAAATGTATTGAAATCCTACTTTCAAATGAGTTCAGGTTCCTTGTCATTGCAGGATATATCATTTACAGAAACTTAATTTAAAATTAAGGTCAAAAATTTAGCATGGGATGTGCTATGAACAACATATGCAAAAGAAAAAGAAGTTGGCATCTTTATTTCAGACCAAAGATATTTTTCCATCCAACTATATGTTTCAGCCCACAGTGGATTTGCAATGTGTAAATGAATTTCTGAGTCAAAGTCAATATGTTTTAAATTACAAATTTTGTTCTCACTGTCTGTGAGAGATCAAAGGAAGAACACACAAAAAAAAGGAAAGCAGTAATTTAAAAGAACAATCATACCTAATTGTGGCATCTTGCATATTAACACGCATCAAACATCTCATGCTGTTTATTCAGTGAGAATGAAAATGCATCTGAACAAGCTGTAATACTCAGTGCAACACAATCCACAGGCTCATCTCACACCAACTGTCAGAGAGCATGCAGCTCAGGAAACTTGTTTTGTATTTAAGGCACCCTTTAAAGTGCTTACTTTGTAAATAATTGTGTGGATTTATATTAGAGATGGTTCTGTCCTGGTATATTACAGGAAGGGTCTTGAAAAAGTGCTGGTCTGTCAGTGACACTGCCCTGCCTTTGTGGAGATTTAAAGGTGACTGTAAAATTGTATAGGCCTGAAGATTTGGTCCTGGGGAGCATCTTCCCCTTGGGCTCTGAACAATCAATCCATCACTGGAGGAAATAAGAAGGAAATGTCTTTCTTCAAGAGTATTCCAGTCTGTGTTAATTATCATGTTAGCAGAGACACTTATTCCCCATGTCCCAGTATTCCTGCATTGACAGAAGATTTAGCTACACAAGCTCATGTCTGTAAGGAATGTATTATGCCCATGCATGTTATGATTAATGGTGGGCCACAGTGAACTGAGTCCTATTTGCCTCTTGCTGTTAAAAGATCATTTTAACACCTAAGGTAGAGACCCTGTGGAGAGACCTGGAAAGGCTTAGTCAACCTTTTCACTCAGCATCGTTTTCAATTACAATGAGTTCCAGGCATTCTCCTTCACAAGATTGGCATTTCATTAATATTCTAGGATTCTTGTTTGGTTATTAAAAAATAATGGTCCTCTTTGCACTACCAGGTTTTTAACTTCCTTAACTGTGGTAAGATAAAACAGACTTGGAGTATCAGTCCAGACTTTGCCCACCATCACCAGCCCTTGGCTAGAGGTGAGTCTGAGACCAATTCTGGTGGACTCTCCCCTACACCCTTCCCCAGGAACTCCCTGGGTTGGCCTTGGATCTCCCTGCCCCTGTGCCCTGTCCCCATCAAGAGCACTCTTGTGTTGGAGCACCTCTACCCACCCCCACTGAGAGCCTGCCCTCCCCCTACCCTGTGCCCTACCCTGCCTACTGTACCACCACTCTGGTTGAGCACTGGGACAGAGGGTGCAGCCAACAATCCAGCCACCTTCTAGGAACTTCCTGGAGCTGCTCTGAGCACACTAGACATGCCTATTCACAAGGGACCACCTGCAATTTCCACCTGCCTGGTTTCTGGCCCCCACCACTGGTCTTCTACTGGAATTCCGGGCCCCTCCCAGAGAGCCACCTATCTTTGCATGGCCTCTCTGAGTTCCTGAGGGCTGAATCTTTGACCCCCATCACAGGGCCTCTACCAAAGAGGCCTCAGCTGGAGAGTGACAGGCCCAGGCTAGATCTGCCTATCAGCTTAAGGAACATCCTGAGTCCCAGCCTTTGAGATCTTTGACTCCCATCACCAGTATTCTACTGGAACCTGATCGCTGACCCCCATCGTCAGACCCCTGCCTGTGGAGAGACCTCCTAGAGAACTTGTACCACCCAGAGCTACAGACATCGAACCTCTGACCCACCTAAGACCACTGGAGAAGTACCATAGAGAGAGGGAGAAACACCACCAACACTTAGTGGAAGAAGCTGTGGGAAGGCAGCAATACAAAAAAACACCTAACAACAGAAAGACAAGCATGACACCACCAGAATCTAAGGAATCTACACCAACTAGACCAGAACACAACAACAAAGCAGATGAAGCAGAAGGGAACGACTTAAAACATAAAAACAATAGAGGCCCTCAAAGAAGATGTGAGAAAATCCCTTAAAGAAATGGAAGAAAAAAACTAATAAAAAATTGGAAGAAATGAACAAATTTCTTAAATAAAGCACAGAAAGCCAAGAAAACACAGTTAAGCAGGTGAAGGAAACGGTTCAAGACTTGAAAACTGAAATAGAGACAATAAAGAAAACACAAACTGAAGGAATGCTAGAAATAGAAAAACTGGGTAAATGATCTGCAACTATAGACGCAAGCATAACAAACAGAATTCAAGAGATGGAAGAGAGAATCTCAGATGGGGAAGATAAACTAGACAAATAGATTCATCGACCAAAGACAATAATAAATACAACAATTCCTTAACACAAAACATACAGGAAATGTGGGCCACTCTGAAAAGGCCAAACCTAAGAATAATAGGCATAGAGGAAGGTGAGGAAGCCCAGCTCAAAGGTGCTGAAAACATATACAACAAAATCATCGAGGAAAACTTTCCCAATCTAAAGAAGGATATACCCATGAAAGTACAAGAAGCATAAGGAACACCAAATACACTAGACCAAAGAAAAAAGACCCCTCAACATATAATAATAAAAATGCCTAACATACAGAATAAAGAAAGAATATTAAGTGCAGTAAAGGAAAAAGGACAAGTAATATAAAAGGCAGACCTATCAAAATTATACCTGACTTCTCCATGGAAAACCTCAAGGCCAGAAGGTCCTGGATAGATGTTCTGCAAGAACTAAGAGACAACAGATGCAAGCCCAGGCTACTATACCCAGCAAAACTCTCAATCACTGTAGATGGAGAAAACAAGATATTTGATGCCAAGCCAGATTTTCACAATACGTATCTACAAATCCAGCCCTACACAAAGTTTTGGAAAGAAAACTCCAACCCAAGGAAGTTAACTACAAAGATGTAGGCAACAGATAATCCCACTTCACCAGAAACTAATGTTAAAGCAGGACAACTATATTCACAATACCACTCACAACAACAAATCTAAAAAAAAAAAAAAAAAAAAAAAAAAACCAAGCATTAAAAGTCAATGGTCCTTCCTCTCCCTCAACATTAATGGTCTTAACTTGCCTATAAAAAGACATAGGCTAACAGAATGGATACAAAGACAGAATCCATCCTTCTGCTGCATATAAGAAACATATCTAAGCTTCAAAGATAGACATTACCTCAGGGTAAAGGGTTGGGAAAAGATTTTCCAAACAAATGGAACCAAGAAGCAAGTAGGCGTGTCTATCCTAATATCTAAAATGTTAGACTTCAAACCAAAATTAATCAAAAGAGATGAAGACGGTCATTTCATATTCATTGCAGGAGAAATCCATCAACACAAAGTCTCAATTCTGAACATCTATGCCCCAAATACAAAGGCACCCACATTTGTAAAAGAAACGCTACAAAAACTAAAACCTTACATAAAACCTCACTCACTTATCCTGGGAAACTTCAACACAGCACTTTCACCACTAGAAAGGTCCACCAATCAGAAACTCAACAAAGAAACAAAAGAACTAACAGAAGTTATGTCTCAACTGAGTTTAACAGTTTTCTACAGAATATTCCATCAAACACAAAATAATATACCATATTCTCTGCTCCAAATGGAACCTTCTCTAAAATTGACCACATACTACGTGGCATAAAAAAGGTCAACAGATACAAAAGAATTGGAATAGTCCCCTGTATCTAATCAGACCACCAGGCTTTAAAAATTCAACAACAATACAAATTTCAGAAACCCTACAAACTCATGGAAACTGAACAATGTGTAATTGCACCACACCTGGGTCAAAGAAGAAATAAAGAAAGAAAATAAGTACTTCCTAAAATTCAACAAAAATGAGGACACAACATACCCGAACTTATGGGACACCATGAAAGTAGTGTTACAAGGGAAGTTCATTGCACTATGTGCTCATATGAAGAAAAGAGAGGATACTCACATTAGAGAATTAACAGCACAACTGAAAACTTTAGAAAAAAAAAGAAGAAAACTCAACCCAGAGGAGTAGATGCCAGGAAATAATCAATTTGAGGGCTAAAGTCAACAAAATAGAAACCAGGAAAATAATACAAAAAAAAAAAAAAAATCAATGCAAGGAAGAGTTGGTTTTTCGAGAAACTCAACAAGATACACAAAACTTTATCCAAACTAACAAAAAAGCAGAGAGAGAACATGCAAATTAACAAAATCAGAAACAAAAAGGGGGACATAACAATGGACACAGAGGAAATCCAGACAACTTTCAGGCCAATCTTTGAAAACCTGTACTCCACAAAATTTGAAAATTTAAAGGAATGAACAAATTTCTGGATAACTATAACTTACCAAAATTAAATCAAGAATAGATAAACA